TTCTGGCATCTAAATAGAGCTGAGTAGAATTCACTTGGGCACTTCTTAGTTACTATTTTGGGGATGGATTTCATGGGAGAAGGTGGCTCCTGGCAGACAGTTCTAATCTCTATGTTCTTGCCTAACCTCTGCTGGCTGACCCAAAACAGGCAGCCACTTAACCAATAATATTTTTATTAATAGTGTTAACGATATTATAACACTTCACAGTTTACAAACCTAGGAGGCAGGACTTGACGTTCGCATTTGGGAAATGCTAAACTTCAGCTAGCTTTAACCACTTTTAGGTTAAATCACTCACCAAGGACATAGTTAGGAAGGGAGCTGCAATACAGGTCTTCTGATTTCACCATCTTTACCCTTACCTTGTTATTGAGGGATGGGGGGAAGGCAGAAAACAAGATAGCTTCAGGAAAAAAATGCAAAAGCATAGGGAATGGACATTTAGCCCTCAAGAGAAAGTAGCCATTCCATGGAGGAGAAAGACTCCTCTATCATTAAGCAAATTGTTTCATGAGTAAGAGCCATTTAGACAGTAACAGGAACTTAAACTTTAACTGCTTATGATTGTCTTACATATGGTGGTTTTAGAAATAAAATGCTGGGAGTAGACTGTATAAGATAGTGCAGCGGTGGTTTGGAGCTAAGGGTCACGCACAGACAGGGTTTAAATCCCAGCTCTTTCACTTAAATCCCAGTAGGTTACCTAACTTCTTTCAGCTTCAGTGTTTTTTCTGCAAAATTAGGACAATTAAAGCACCTGCTTCATAGAGTTGAGGAGCGAATCGAATGAGATAGTTTATGCTAAGAGCTTAGCACTGTGCAGGGCACATCATAAACGCCTAGCAATGACAGCTATGTTGTAATGGTTGGTGATAAATCCTCCTCTCTGTGGAGCTTTGGTTTTAATTTGGCATTTGGCTAAAAAAGGGGAATCATCTCGCCCAAAATTCAAAATTTACAGGACAGGCTAGAAATGCAGAAATATGCCTCAGGTCCCTGCGAGGTTCCTTTTGTCATTAAAAACACCTCATTTCCTTGCCAACCACCCCCACTACCCTCAGCTTTTCCCTCCGCTGCCCTCTTCCTCCATCCCCAATCCACTCATTCCTGGTGTTACTTTTTCATTTTCCTGTGGTGCCATGATCAGATCTGTGCCTGAATTCAGCTCTCTTTGCAGAAGGAAAAGAAAGCAACACAATTAGCTACTAGGTAGTGTGATTATCTGAGAAGGGGGTTTCCTATGCTTTGCTGTCTGCTCCAACCTCCCCCTAAGCCTGATGAGAAAGACAATAAAAGCTACCAAGACCCCCGAAGAGAGGGGCCTAGTGTCTTGATTTCCAAGGTTACCCAGGAAAATCAAAGCCTCCTCCAGAAGCCCTCCAGGTAGCAAAGCAGCGATGACTGCATGAGGCTCTTGTGTGGATGGGCCCAGCAGGCTTGCTCACAGATTTCCATATGCACGTAGTCCCCATTTTATGACATATTCGAGTTACTACGAACCGAATCGTACTTACGACCATCGTTTTGGGGGCTTTTTTTTTTGTTTTTGGTACATCTTATCATTAGTAATATGTACTCTGTACAACATTGCAGCATGTAATTTGCTGATGTTATCATTCTCAGATGTTCACCTGCAGATGTTCAATGTTACGATATACTGTTCAAAACATTGCCATACAGCAGGCGATGGCCTGGTCTACAATGAAGTCTGCATTGGTGTCTGTGTAGGGAGCCGTGACGGATAGAAAGTTGGGCAATGTTCAGCTCTAACAACATATGACAACTGAAGTGAACACGCGTCTGACAGCCCTTACCACTCCTCCTTCATTGTTACAACACTGACTGCTGACTTCATTGTAATATTTTTCAATGTATCCGGAACATTGCCTGTTCCTGAGAGGAAGTTACGGGAAAATGCATGCAAGGGGTTTGGGGAAAATACTGCTGAGTTACACGAACACGCTCCAAGCATTTGATCAGGATAATATGATGGAAGACATTGGTGGAAAAATCATCCATATAGCAAGAATGCTGAATTTAGAACTTGGTATCACCAATGTAGAATAGCTCATAGATCACAAAGAAGGGGAAGTAACGGATCAGAGCTTAATTTTGAAGAGGAAAGAAATAATGAGGTAGAGAAAGGAGAGAAGTTGTAAAAAAAATTTACGGTGAACGTATTACCTGAAGTATTTTTTCTAAACTAAATCAGAGGCTTCAGTTGCTTGAAATCATGGACCCAAACACTGATCATTTTGCTAAAGTTGATAGACAGTTTCTGGAAGCAGTGAGATGTTACCATGAAATATATGAAGAACAAAAGAAAAGGACCATACAGACAACTCTCATTAATTTTCTGACTAGAAATGCTATCCCCATTCCCAGGGATTATCTAGATGATCCAGAACCTTCCACAAGTGAAATTATTACCACAACTGACAAAATGCCAATGTTGTCCAATTTGTGTATTTTTTTATGTATGTATGTATTAAAATCTATGAGTCGGAACGAACTCGACAACAACAGGTTTAGTACTATTTTTTTTTTTTTGGTTTATGTATTAAGATATATCTGTAAGTAATGTTTCCAAACCCCAAAGACAAATATAGATCAGATTTATAAAGATACTTATAATAAAAGACAGTAATAATGAAAACTTAAAAAAAATAAGAAGAAGGGGTTTGGATAGTCCCCAACTTACGACAGGGTTCTGTTCTGACAACTCTATTGTAAGTTGGTTCTGATGTAAGTCGAACATAAGGCAATAATAATGAAAACTGAAAAAAAAAAAAAGATGTATTTGACATACATCAGAATCAACTTACAATGTAGTCATCAGAATGGAGCCCCGTCGTAAGTCAGGGACAACTTGCAATGTAGGGAAAGCAGCCAGAAAGAAGTTCCTGAGCTGCTGAACAGATGAATGAAGACAGCATCAGATTAGAAAGGGCATTGTGGATAGGACAAAAATATAAAGTTCATGGGTTTGGTGACCAAAAAACATATTGAGACTGTAGACATCAGCAGCAAAGGTCTACAAACAATGATAAACCAAAAAAAAACACAAATCTGTTGCCATCGAGTCAATTCCGACTCGTAACGATCCTATAGGACAGAATAGAACTGCCCCATAGAGTTTCCAAGCAAGATTAATGATTAATGATAGATTAATGATAGACAAGATTAATGACAGGTCCGAATGGACACAGGATAACTGAGGACATGATGCTGTCTTCTATCAACACCTTGGCACGACCATAAGCTTCTTGTAACTTCGATGCAACCCCAGGGAGAAAAGGAGAGGAGTAAAATGGACCAAAGAATCACTAATTTGACTTAGATTCCCTGTAAGACACCATTGATTTATATTTTTGTTATCTGACATAAACAGAGGTTTAATTCAGAAATAAAGTAAAATTAGAGGGTAGTAGTAGAATTTTTGCCTACCATGCAGGAGACCCAGGTTTGATTCCCAGCCAGTGCACTTATGCACAGCCACCACCCATCTGCTGGTGCTATGATGCTGAACAGGGTTTAGCAGAGCCTCCAGACTAAGACAACTAGAAAGAAAGACCTGGCAATCTACTTTGGAAAATCAGCCAGTGAAAACCCTATGGATCACCACAGTCTGATCCCATTGTGCATGGGATCACCATGAGTCAGTGGCCAACTCAAAGGCAGCTAAAGCAAAGATAGTTACAGAAAAATAAGGAAAAAATTTTTTTTTGCCTCTGAGTTTGTGACTCTGAAGTTTTGTACCTACTAGATGAGGATGGCTTGGTAGAATTAAGCTGGATTCCAATTTGCAGTGCATTTTCACTCCACAGGAGAGTTTTCCAAAATGAGACACATAGCACACTGATCCCCAAAAAAGATGGTGTCCAAAAAAATTAGTTCCCTGGCCAAATCAGTTTCAGAACAGGTTATAATACATACCCATCTTGGATATTTCCAACATGTGTTGACTTTACAAAGGCTCTAAGAAGTCTTCGGGTAAAGAGATCTATTTAACTTTAATCCAGTACTTTCCAATTAATATAATGAGGAAACTTTGTTTTGTTTTGTTTTTTAACTGAGACAGAAGGTATTTCACTCCAAGAAATGCTTGCGTAGGGAGCTGAAGGTGAGAATGGATGATAATGCTATTACTGTGGTGACCCAAGAGAAAAATAATCAGGTGGAACACAAGCTTAAGATTTATGCTGGGATGTAGAAAATATCATGGCTGGGCATGGAAATGCTACTTGCCGAATGACCCCATATATCTTAGAAATCGGCTGAATTTCTTCTAATATTCTTTCAAGGTTCTTGCTGAGTCACTCCCATAAATGATGAATCTTAATGGTTCCGAATATCTCTAAAGCCTTCATGTCTGACCATCTCCCTTTTTAACTCTGTGATTCACTCCGCACCAGCAAGCAGAGACAGAGTGAATAGGCTGCGTTTCATTTTCCAATCATAAAAAGATATCTCAAGACTAGCACAAAAACATGATGGACTATTATAAGGCCCAGATCGCATATCAGAAATTTAACTGGCTGACTCTTTGGAGGCCCTGAGGTGCATCACCTTTCCCTCTCATTTCTGCACTGTGTTTTGAAGACTATACTAACTTATGGTAGATTTGCTGTGAGTAAAAAAGATACCTAAAGGCTTCAGAAAGAAACATGGGATTTTGAGTCTGAAAAATCTTTATTCAAATCCCAACTCTTCCATTTCCTGGCACTGTGACCTTGGGTGAGGCTCTCTCCACATTTTAGCTTCCTCATCTGAAAATGAGGATAATGATATACCCATTCAGGGTTGTTGTGATCAGAGGAATGATGCTTGGGTGGGGAGGGATGCAAGTAGAGAGGAGATAAAGTCATTGTACCGTATCTCCAAGGGACAAGTCATCACTAAACTGAACTGGAAGCACCATCAGGATCTATATGCAGCCATCTCCATCCCTACATTTATTACAAACACAGAAAAAGTACTATGCAGGTGCTCTGTACCTGATTATTCGAGTGTGCTTCCGGGTATAAGGAGTGATGACCTTGAAAAGCAGTTCCAATGCTCCATTAATTCCCAGCATGGCTCCTGTGGTGACTGAGAAAAACAAAGGCACAGTAGTTATTGGGTCACCTGAACCAAGCTCTGGTTTTAACACTAGAGAGTGGGCCTAAAGTGGCAGGGAGGTCCATCACCTTTCACGTTAAACGCAACTTATAAACAGGGAAACTGTATGGTCTTTTCATCCCTGGTTGGGAAGTGAAAGTCGTCTGAAAGGCACAGTCACGTTATCTTCTCAAAGTGGGCCCAAATGATGAAACATATATTATTTATTTTCTGATGGCTTATTGCACTTTTCCATTGTATTCTTAGCTAGAACAGGCAGGATAATTACTGAGCAGAAGACGTTTCTCTAAGTAGACCTTTGGGTTTGTGGCAATGATTTCAATTCAAACTGTGCCTGTTTTACTCACCACCAACTTCCTATGGCACATACCAGCATGCAAGCACGCGCGCGCACACACACACACACACACACACACTGACAGTATCTTACAAAAGACTTTCTTAGACATGTTCCACCATTTGGAAAACTTCACAATGAAGAAAAGTTACAAGTTACAAGTGGATGGGTTAGGTTCAGTACAACTTGAACTGACTTTTTTGAAACTTTAAGGGGCAACTTTATAAACAAGACAGCTCCATTTCTTTTCCATTGGGTTCTAAGTTCCCCTATAATTTTTGTGCTTGGATCACCCATGACTGAAACAATGACTCATCCATTAGAATGTCAAAGGAGTAATCAATCCTTCCTGCTCAGAACTAACTGTTGTTGTTGTTAGGTGCCATCAAGTTGGTTCCAACTCATAGCAACCCTATGTATAACAGAATGAAACACTGCCCGGTCCTGCGCCATCCTCACAACCATTGCAGCCACTGTATCAAGCCATCTCGTTGAGGGTCTTCCTCTTTTTCACTGACCCTCTAATTTACCAAGTATAATGTCCTTCTCCAGGCACTGGTCTCTCCTGACAACATGTCCAAAATAGGTGAGATGAAGTTTCGCCATCCTTGCTTCTAAGGAGCATTCTGGCTGTACTTCTTCCAAGACAGATTTGTTCATTCTTCTGGAAGTCCATGGTATATTCAATATTCTTCCTCAGGACCATAACTGAAAGGCATCAATTCTTCTTTGATCTTCCTTATTCATTGTTCAGCTTTTGCATGCATATGAGGCAACTGAAAACACCATGGCTTGGGTCAGGCACACCTTAGTTCTCAAAGTAACATCTTTGCTTTTTAATACTTTAAAGAGGTTTTTTGTAGCAGATTTACCCAATGCAAAATGTCATTTGATTTCTTGACTTCTGCTTCCATGGGCATTGATTATGGATCCAAGTAAAATATAATCCTCGACAACTTCAATAATTCTCCAACATCCCAATACTCCACTCCATCCAGCTCACTTTAGAAAGAGCTTTGGTCTTGTCAAAAGACAAAGAGGATTTTGAAACTCTCTGTACTTTCTGCACAATTCTTCTGTGAACCTAAAACTTCTATTTAAAAACATGAAGTCTATTTAAAAAAAAAAAAAAAGACAATAAGGAATCCACCAGACATAAAATGGAGCCCCTCTAGCAGGGAGTAAGATTTTCAGAGGGAGAAGGAAAGAAGGTTAAAATTATCTTCAGAGGTATAACTCTCTTCTCTTTCTTCTATTGCATTGGTGTAGTAAGACAGAGAACTAGAAATGCCTTGTACTTTGAGACAGACTTGTTCCTGAAGATGTGATTGGGAACAAGGGGGCGATGGAGAAGCAAAGACTGACAGACAGAGGTGACTTATACTGGCTTGATCCAAACTTTTCAAAAGGAGGATAAATGGAAATCTGGAGGCTCTTACACAGTTCATCCCAGTACAGTCCACCACCTAGAGACAGCGGCTAATGTCTTACATTTCAAAGAGTGCATGTTCTTGGAACGTCCCCTCTGCATCTGTCCCTCCTGAGGCTAGTGCAGGTGATAATTGCTTGGATTGAAATTCAGGAATTTGGCATCCTAGTGCTAGCCATCAATCTTCTGCTCTCCTGGCTACTAACTCAGTCTTTACTTCTAAATTGGGAGAACATGCCAAAGCAAACTCTTGACAAATAATTCAGCAAAATTCTGGTATTAAATACAGTTAAGAAGCGGATGGTTTTAGGAACACTGACTCTAACACGGATAACTTTAGACAATAAGAAATCCCCACTGAGTTCATCCCTGCTGGATGCTTGCCCAAGGTTGGGTCTCTGGCGGCTCTGTAAACATCCCCATTGGCCATATGAAAGCTGGCTGTCACAGACACATTGCAGTTGCAGCCAAGTCTTTCTGCAGATAGGAATGGTTGGAATGCTTGCTGGAACATTCAACAGGGCTAACAATTTAGCAAAGGGACAGCAATCCACAGGCTTCTTGAACTCTGCTTGCCTCTCATCATCAGTAAAGCCAATGTATAGAGAGTGACAGTATAATTTTTAAATATGTTAGGAAAATGCTGGTACAATAAATGTAATCTTAGAATATGAGCCAAATGGCTACTTCTCACACCCACAGGCAAATCCCAGCATTTCTCAGGGCTCCAGGGTGAAGGATTTTTTTTTTTTTTCCTGATCTCTATAACTATTATATATAATAAGAAAGGCATGTTATTCAGCCTAATTATTCTTTAGGAGACCAAAATGAGATACTCAAGTCTTCTGCTGCTGGCAAGCTCCACACTGGGGTGGCACACATTCTGGCAACTCATAAACGAGTATTGTCCTTTACACAGAGCCACAGCTTTTCACCTAGCTTCCTTTATTAGAGATGGGTTTGTACAGATCCATTTAGGCCTTCCCAAACACACTCTGACTTTCTGGTCAACATGTATAAATGGGTGAGCTGTGGCTCTGTCTGAGAACATAGAATCTATCTCGTTATTCCCCAGAAAGACTTTCTCTTTGTAGACACTCCATGCTTATTACTGGAATTAGCCAATGAAAATCAGGTTATTTTAGTAGTTCTTAGACTAGTTACAAAAAAAAGGTCACCTATCCACTCCCCATATGTGTACGCTTCCTATTATTTCAAGGGACTAAGGAAAAAGAGTAGAGCAGAAAAGCAAATGAGCAGCTACTAGGTGCCAAGCATACCCATGAACATTATCTTACTCATTCCTACTATAAAGTCTGTGAGTTTCATTAAACCACAGTTTTCCAAAGGAGGAAACTGAGGTTCAAACAGGTTAAGTGACCATGTTACATGGCTCTTTAGAAATGGAATCAGAGTCAAACCCAGACCTTTTGGGCTCTAAGCTCATGTTCTCTCTTATACAGAGCACTACATCTAAATAATTCTCACTTTTATTCCACAGAAAAGGGGTTCAGAAAGGAGAAATGAAAGTCTATGCTCATTACATGGGAGATAGGAGGTATAGAATCCAGATATTTTAATAAAAAATTTTCCCATATGGAGAGGAGGATTGACATGAGTTTTGGAGTTAGAATCTCAGTCCTCATGATTTATTTTCACTCATTTAAGGTGTTTTTTTTTTTTGTTTTTGTTTTTTTGTCTTAGCATAAAATGGTAGGTCTAAATACAGGTTTGTTGTGATACTTAAAAATAATCCAAATCAGGAGATGGCAAATAAGCATTAATGCACGTGCTATGATGTATCTAGTTGTTACCTGGAGGATTATGTTGAGAAGGATCATGAAGGAAAATTTGGCAAAGGGTGTTGTGCTCAGTGAGTAGCTTCTGGGGCATGGTAAGGAGATTGTGTAACGTGAGAGTAATTGTTGACAGTTGTAACACACATAGCACTGTACCTTGAATATGATGAGAACTAAATAGTCTGTCCTTCTCCTACCACAGGTCTTTTCCACCTCGTAGTACTCTTAGGGAGCCCTGGTGGCAGAGTGGTTAAGAGCTTGGCTGTTAACCAAAAGACGGGCAGTTCTGAATCCACCAGAGGCTCCTTGGAAACCCTGTAGAGTAGTTCTACTCTGTCCTATAGGGTCACTATGAGTCTGAATCAACTCGACGGCAATGGGTTTGATTTTAGAACTGTTAGAGAGGCCTAGAATGCAATGGAGTCCCTGAGTGATGCAAACAGTACCACACCTCGGCTGCTAACCAAAAAGGCAGAGATTTGAGTCCACCCAGAGATATCTCAGAAAAAAAACCCTGGCAATCTACTTCAAAAAAATTAGCCATTGAAAGCCCTGTGGAGTACAGTTCTACTCTGACACACGTGGGATCTCCACAAGTCAGAATTGATTTGACTGCAACTGGTGGTAAAGAATGCTATAATATCTGACTCCCAAGGACAAACAATGTTAAGGACTATCTCTAGGGACAGCCTCAATAGTTCTACTCAGCTGAGGAGGAGATGAAGAAATGGCCTCTCACCTCCACAGCCTCTGGATCCTGAGTCTCCCCATAGTATATTTATCTGGTTGAGACCACATATGTACCCTGTCCATACCATCTTTCTAAGCAGACCCCAAAATGATCTCCAGGCCTCCCGCTCAGCTCTGAAAACCACCCCGGAGAGCAACAATAAAGTCACTTACCACGGGAGGCAAACACACGCAGAGCCCAGAGACAGTGGAGGAGGTTCTGGCTGTGGGACAGGTTTTTCCTGGCCAGAGTCAACGTCACATCGAGTGCCTCCAATTCCAGTGCCTTCTGTCCAAACTTTTTATCTAAGAACATAAATCAACCAGACTCAGTTGCATTTCCCAGTGATTCTGAAGATTGGACAGCGCATGGGGTAGAGGAAGAGGAAGAGGGGAAAGGGAGGAGGATAATCATAGCCAAAGAGACTTTTCAGATATAGTAGAAAGTGCTGCTAAGTAAGTCCCACTGGAACCAGATGACTTAAAAGAGCTAACTAGAGTTCACATATTGTCCCTCATTCTTCAAGTAATATTTACACGAAGGCTTGTGTGCTGTATGACTTGCAAACCCCTATATCTAAGGATGTTTCTGATTTTCCTCACACATGAACTCCAGCATATTTGGGTATAAATTTCTTCTTTTAAGACAGTTCTAGAACTAAGGATACTTAAGTGACATGACATGTGTCATGGATTGGATTGTGTCCCCAAAAAATATCTGTCAACTTGGCTGGGCCATGATTCCCAGTATCATGTGATTGTCCACCATTTTCATCTGATGTGATTTTCTTATGTGTTGTAACTCCTATCTTTATGACGTTGATGAGATGGGATTAGTGGCAGTTATGCTAATCAGGCAGGACTCAATCTACAAGATTGTGTCTTGAGCCAAACTCTTTTGAGATATAAAAGACAGAAGCGAGCAGAGAGACACAGGGAACTCATACAACCAAGAAACAAGAGCCAGGAGAATAGTGCATCCTTTGGACCTGGGGTCCCTGAACTGAGAAGCTCCTCAGCTGGGGAAGATTGACCTTTCCCCAGAGATGCAAGAAAGAGAAAGCCTTCCCTTGGAGCTGGCATCCTGAATTCGAACTTCTAGCCTCCTAGACTGTGAGAGAATAAATTTCTATTTGTTAAAGCCATCCACTTGTGGTATTTCTGTTATAGCAGCACTAGAAAACTAAGACAACATGCAAATGAACTGTGCTCACATTGAATGGATCCTTCCTTGAATATGTCTGTAAAAGATGTGTTGAGAACATCTGGAGAAACTGGAATGAGTGTAAATTATGCATTTATTGTTTATTTTGCTAGATTTGTGATAATGGTATTACAGTTACATAGGAAAATTATCTTTTAAAAAAACGTACTCTGAAGTATTTAGGAGCAAAATGCTGTCTGCAACTGTCTTTAAAATAATTTAAATAAGAATAAATAGGTGAAGGACAAATAGTCTACATGAACGACAGCCTCATCTACCTTAAGACCAGAAGAACTAGATGGTGCCCAGCTACTACTACTGACCAATCTAATCAGGGTCACAATAGATAGACCCTGACAGAATAGGCTAAAAATGTGAAACAGAACCTCAAATTAAAAAAGAAAAAAAAAATACTTACTGGACTGGTTGAGATTAGAGGACTCCCTAAGACTATTGCCCTGAGATACTCTTCAAACTTTGAACCAAAACTAACCCCTGAGATCACCTTATAGCTAAATAACAGATTGGCTCACAAAATAATTAGTATTACCCATAAGTACTGTGTTCCTTTAAAAAAATCACATATATGAGACCAAAGGTCTACAATTACTTTAAAATAAAGATGAGAATGTAAGGGGGCAGGGAAACTAGATTAATGGAAATGGAACAACCAGAACGGAAATAATGAGAATGTTCACACATTGTGAAGAATTTAACCAATGTCACTGAAAAATTTGTGTAGAAATTGTTTAATGGGAACCTAAACTGCTGTGTAAACGTTCACCAAAAACACAATAAGATATTATTTGAAAAAAAGGCGATGGAAATATGGCAAAACGTTAACAATACTCAGATATAAGTAATAGGTATATAAGAGGTCATTACCCTCTCTTCCTTTTTATATGCTAGAGAATTTTCATAATGAAAAATTAAAATATTTTTAAGAAAATGAAATTTGCTCCTCAAATTTCTCTTAAATTGTTGCTCCAAATAACCTCTCATTTAGTGTTACAGATAAGTCGTTATTACTTTAATAGTTAGAAAATAAGCATAAAAAATTAGGGAATAGTACCTTTTATTCTATGTCCCTGGCTCCCGTTATGACACCAGGTGACTGTGTTACCAGTTACATTTGTTTGTGTCCTTCCCAGAGAGTGTGATTCTCAGATAGTCATGGTTTGATTTTTTGTTTGTTTGTTTGGTTGGTTGGTTTGTAGGAATGGAGTATATTCACTGTCAGATTCATCCCAGGAGGGTTACTTAACTTTGGGTCTATTATGAGGAAAAAAGACACTGTACCCTAAACCTGATTTACCAATATTTGCCTCTGGACAAAAGAACATCAGTTAACAGATTGTGACTAAACCAGCATGATCTTATTCCCCTCATTAGAAAAAATTGTCTATCTCACTCCAATCCATGAGCAGCCACCCTCCTATCTGTTCTGTTCAGACCAGCCCTTGGCAACTTGAATGTCAATGTCAAAGACTACAAACTCTTGATAGTTGAAACTATGATAATTATTACAATAGTAATATTAAGATCGATAACTTGGAAATCACTGTCCTGACATATCTTTTGGAGCCCTGATGTATCTTTTGGAGCCCTGGTGGCTCCAAAAGATATGAGCTTCACTGCTAACCAAATGGTTGTCAGTTCAAACCTACCAGCTGCTCCCTGGAAACCCTATGGGGCAGCTCTACTCTGTCCTATAGGGTCACTACGAGTTGGGATCGACTTGAAGGCAACGGATTTGGTTTGGTTTTGATGTATCTTTTATCTCTTTTTTTTTTTTATCATGTTATCTATATGACTCTTGTCTGTGAGGTCCCTGGCCCCACATGCTAAGTATATGACATTCAATATCTCATTTAATCCTCATAGCAACCCTATGAATTAAGTACTCAACCCTCACTTTTGGTCAAGTAGAGGGTCAGCAAAAATGAGGCAAACACTCCGTGAGATGAACTGACACAACAGCCACAACAATGGACTGAAATATGCTAACCATCATGGAGATGGCACAGGACCAGGCAACATTTTGTTCCGTTATATATAATGTCGGAGGAGCCCTGGTGGCACAGTGGTTAAGCACTCAGCTGCTAACCGAAAGGTCAGCGGTTTGAACCCACCAGCTGCTCTGTGGGAGAAAGATGTGGCAGTCTACTTCCATAAAGATTTACAGCCTTGGAAACACTATGTGGCAGTTCTACTCTGTCCTACAGGGTCACTATGAGTCAAAATGAACTCAACAGCAATGGGTTTGGTTTTGGTTTATACATGTACGTTCACCATAAGTCAGAGACAACTCAATGGCAACTAACAACAACAACAGCAAACCCTACTTTGGAGTCCCCAGGTGGTGCAAACAGTTAACATACTCAGCTGCTAACTGCTAACCAAAAGGTTGGGGGTTCAAGTCTACCCAGAGGTCCCTTAGAAGAAAGGCCTGGCAATCTACTTCTGAAAAAATCAGCCATTGAAAACCCTATGGAGCACACAAAGTTCTGCTCTGGCCCACGTGGAGACATCATGAGTCAGAATCAACTCAGTGGCAACTGGTTTTGCCCCCACTTTACAGATAAGGAAAGAATGGTTCAGAAAGTTTAAGTAACTTTCCCAAGGTCACACAGCTATGAAGACCAAGCCTAAAACCCAGATCTGACTCCTAAGCTTATACCATTTACCACCAGGGTATATCATGTCTCTACTGTCTTTGCCTGGAGCTCACCTGGCCACTCTCTGCTTTACTGACTTCTTCTCATGCTTCAAGTTTCAGCTCAAATGTCACCTCTTCGTGACCACACTATCTCAGAGTAACATTACTCTTTCTTTCCCTTACAGCATTCATCATAGTCTGCTGTCATCTAATTAATTACTTATTTACTTTCTGGCCTTCCCCACTTGAATATAAGCCCTACTGGTATTCCCAGTGCCTAAAGCAGTGCCTGGCCCTAAGAAACACGCAGTAAAAATCTGCTGAATATTCAATCAGCGGATTTTATTGGTTTTGTCTGGGACATGCTTTAGCTGGTGCTGAGAACTTGTTCTCAGTCATTATTTGTGGAATGTTGAATGTTCTCAAAACAGAGATGAAAACTTTGAAAGGAAAGAGCGTCCTAGAGCCCTTGTACCCTTGGCTACAGCTGCCAGCACCAGATATCAAAAGGTCCACCTTTGAGAAGAGCTAAGCTTCTCTATTGTGACATATATAAGGCTCTGCACATAATTAGAGCTTAACAGATGTTTTGGCTAGCTTGCAATGTTTGCATGGGTCCTGAGTACCCAGGTTTTTAAACTGTGCTCCAGGAAGTTCTAGAGTTTTAGGAAGGTATGGCAGGATCTTCTGTGGGGACAGAGAAGTGGGGATGGAGCGTAAGTAGACAGAACTCCAGTCCCCAGCTTCCCTTCAACTAGGGAAGTTCCTCTTCTATGTGATTTATTGTAGTGGGTTGAACAGTGTCTCTAAAAATTCATGTCCACCTAGAACCTCAGAGAGTGATCTTATTTGAAAATAAGATGTAATCATTTAAGATGAGGTCATACTGTTTAGGGTGGCCCTTAAAGCCAATCCTTATAACAAGAGGAGAGAACACACAGAGAGACACACAGAGGACAATGCCATGTGACAACAGAGGCAGAGACTGCAGTGACGCATCTAAAAACCAAGGAACACCAAGGACTGCTGGTAACCACCAGAAGCTAGGGGAGGGGCATGGAACAGATTCTCTCTCAGAGCCTCCAGAAGGAACCAACACTGTTGATACCTGCATTTCAGACTTCTGGCCTCCAGAACTATGAGACAATACATTTCCGTTGTTTTAAGCACCCAAGTTTGTGGTAAATTGTTACAGCTGTCCTAGGAAACTAATACACTTATACATAATGTCCACTGTATATACAACGCAATTTGTAGAAGTGTTCCATTTCTTTATAAATGATTGAAAGCTGCCTTGGAGTATCTCTTCTCTTTCCCCTCGTATGACATATGTCCCATGTAGCTCAGGCCTGCTCTGGGCTGTCCTAAGCACCATACTTTGGGTTAGCTGACATCTAGGGCAACAAAATTACCTCTCCTACAGGGCTACTCTTGTAACCACCAGAGTGACCAAAACATATTGCTTCCCCACATGAGCTCCCCAAATCACTCTCATGATAACAATCCCAGGAGTATATTTTCAGTTATCTTCTGGGATCTGGGAGTGTGCATACCTCTTAGGCCAACCTTGACCAGCAGCCGGAAGAGAGGCAGGAGAATGCCATAGTCTGGGGAAGATGTCCTCGCTGTGTCCACCAGGGTTTGCAGAAGGGCTTCACTGCCACCCTTGCTGATCATGTAGTGAATCCTCCGGTCTGTGCCTGAGGGAGAATCAGAGGAAGGATGAGCCACAAATAGTCACCCTCATTTGTCTTAGAGTTGAAGGCAGAACTCACACTAGAGACAGAGCAAGGACTGGTTCACTTCATCCCAGAAATCAAAATTGTGTAGTTCTTGAAGCAACCCATGTTAATGTTGGACCACCAGGTAAGCAGGGGAAAGGTGTGTGAAATGGGAATATGATGGTGTATTTAAGAACCTAGGTGAATTTACCTGCATCAGCTGTAGTTAATAGAGCTTAGAATCCATCTTCCTGAAAACTTGTGTGTGTGTGTATACATGTATATAAATATGCATACAGGGCAGGTATAATCATATACTTAATAGAAAAGGGAATATCAGTATCTCTCTGCTATTTGTTTGCATGATCTATAATAGGAATTGGGTTGATGGCTTATTTGAAATCATTTTACTGACGATACAATGAGGTTTTGGTGCTGCCTTTTAGTAATTTATAGGAATAAAATATGGAAACAACTGGAGTAACCCTTTACAGAACAAAGTCCCAACCATTCTATCCAGGGAGTTTAGAAGAATGTCTGGGACTTGGATGAGGTTATCGGTCTTTCTATTTAAGAATAGTTTTGAACAGGGACTCATCTTGACCCAGGACAAGCTCAAAAGAAGTGATAACATGTCAATCTGGAAGGGATCCTGGGTGATTCTCCATGCACTGGGCATGCTTGACCTAACCAAAGGTGGCTGATAGCGTGGGACATTTTCAGCAGACAGGACTCTCTGATCTTTAATTTTCATGAAAAGTAGCATCCTCTACCAAAGAAGCAGTAAACACTGCCTGTATCAGAACAAGAACTCGAAGGTTTCATTCTAAGTGTTTCAGACCCTCTGGACAATTTAGGAGTCCCTAGGTGGTGCAAATCATTAACACACTCAGCTGGACATTCTAGTCAACCCAGAGGCTCCTTAAAAAAAGGCCTGGCTATCTATTTCTGAAAAAAATCAACCATTGAAAACTCTACGGAGCACAGTTCTATTCTGATACACATGGGGTCGCCAACTCAACCCAGCTGGTTTGTACAAACTGAAGACAGTACTAGCCCAGAAGGCAAGTAGCTTCACTTAGAAAGGGTAACTCACCAAGCAGACTGCAGGGAAGCTGCCCTGCCAATGGAGGGCAGCACAGCCTATGGAAAAACCCCAATATAAATGGGCCCTGTCAGTTGAAATTATAATCTTGATGCTCTGTGGCTTTGCAGTGTCATTATAAAACTACATGTTATTTTTTTCTTTCTGATGTACTGTGGCTAGCACACATAGAAATGTAAATTGAGTGAATGTCGGAATGCCCAAGAAGCTGTATTTTCCAGGACCCTCAGCAAGAACTTGAGCTAACAGAAGCATGGCCCAGTTAACTCAGTTGATTTCACTGTAGTCAACTTTGTCATCTGACCTCTGAAGCCTCAGTGGCTACCACACTGCCAAGTGTATCTCTGCCTTGTATTCCTGCCTCCATTTGGCATATGTAAGAGAGCTGCTACTACTTGGCCCTCTAAATGGGCCAGAGTGGAGGGAAGCAGAGAAAGAAGATGAGGTAGAACCACTGAGGGTTAACTCTCACTGAGGAGAGGAGCAGAAGCGGGCACAAGCCCTAGAGGTCTTCAGCCCCACTGATGAGAAACCACAGAATGACCACTCCAGAGCCTAATTTCCTCTTAAGGTTGGGTCACTGTAGGGGTTGGGGGATGATAAGACCAAGGAGCCCAAAGTACAATCAGCCTAGTTTACTCTGGGTTTTATTAACCTCAGGGAAAAAAGAAGCTGGCCTGGTGCTTCTGTCTTTCACAGGAAACTTGAGCTAGATCAAACCCCCTGCCACCCAGGTTCCTGAGAAAGCTCACAGCTGGCATGCGACTATGTCCACCGTATGAGGGGATGAGAGCACGGGCCTACTCACCAACAGAAAGCAGATCGCCAAGGACCTGGAGGATGGCCAGGATGGACTCTCTGTCCGAGGTGCTCTGCAATGACAACACAGGAAGCCATCTTTAAAAGGAAGGCAAGAGGAGGGAGGCAGTCTGGTCAGAGAGGCACAGGAAATGAGAGCATCGGTGATTCTCCTTAAATAATAACAATGCGGAGCCTCACTGAGATATAAGGGTCCCAGGGGCTCTGGCCCTGTATTTAGTCCTCAGGACCCCTCCTCAAGGACTCATCTTGTAGCAACATCAGCAAAATGGGCAAAAGTGTAAGCATTGACAATTTACACAGTAAGATTAAAGGGGCTTTGTGGGCCAAGGTAGCACAGTTCTCACAACTGTAGGCTTGCATTATTTTGTTTTATTTTAATTTATTTTATTTTGTTGTTGTTAAGAATATAAACTGCGGAACATTAACCCATTCAACAATTTCTACATGCATATTTCAGTGACATTGATGACACTCTTTAAGTTTTACAACCATTCTCACCCTCTCTTTCTGAATTGTTCCGCCTCCATTAACATAAACTTACTGCCCCCTAAGGTTCCTATCTAATCTTTCCAGTTGCTGTTGTCAGTTTGATCCCATATAGGTAGTTTTTTAAAGAGCACAGTACCCAGGGCAGATATTCTTTATTAGTTAAGATAAACCGTTGTTTGGTTCAAAGAAGACTTCAGGGGATATTTTTGGTTTAAAGTTTAAAGATAATCTCAGGCTTGGATTATTTTTAAGTGGAGGGCAAAGAACAGAAACAGAAATTTACTAAAATTTTCTCATAGAAAGACGTGCCCGACTGACAGGGAAGATGTCCCCGCCTTAGTCTGCAAAAGTGGGAACCGGACCCATGGAGCAGCACAGCAACAGACCTGTCATTCTAGGGAGTTTGCCAGACTCCAGTCCTTAAAAGTTGTGGACTGAATATGGCTCAAGAAGAAAACAACATCCCTGGATTGGTTTCCCTGACATTTCTGGGTCAACACCCAGCACATCCCATCTTTTTGAGAAGAGAAAAAGGGGGATATAAGATAAAAAGTAATGCTGTGCAAATATTGTGTAGCTTCTAAAATGCTAGATTCACTAGTTAATTATGAATAATAAGCAAGGATAAAGAAGGAAAAGAAAAATAAGAGAGGAAACAGACATGAGAGAAAAGGGAAAGAAAAAGACTAATAAGGTAGAAATTGATTGGAGAGGAATAAATGATCCAGATTCATTTTCCTTTCATTCAGTTATTCATGTAGTCATCCCACAAACATTCACTGTAAATCATCTATGCTCAATCACTAGAGTAGGCAGTGAGGATGTGAACTGATCAAAACCCAATCCACCTTTGTCAAGCTCCAGGCCTGGCTGAGGTAAACAGCTGGCAGATGATTCCAACCTGGAATGGTAAGGGCTGTGAAAAAGGTAGGCCTGGATGCTGGGATGAGAATCCAGGGGAGGAGCATTTAATCCAGCTAGGCCAGTGCCTTGAGTGATGAATCTGAGAAATCAAGAAAAAAAAAAGGCAGGGGACGGGTATTCCAGCTACAGTGTGGCCTGGTGTGCTCAGAGAGAGCATGGAAGAACATGTCGGAGAATGAAATTGTGTTCAGTATGACCAACTGAATGAAGCAGATGGAGAAGGAAATTGTGAATTCCCTGTGGGCAAGAACTGGGTCTTATTCCCACCTCCTAAGGTGTAACAGAAGGCAGTGGTTATTCAGTGGTAGAATTCTTGTCATCTCTGCAGAAGACCCAGATTAGATTTCCAGCCAGTGTACCTCTTGTGCTGCTACCACCCACCTTTCAATGGAAGCTTGCATGTTGCTATGATGCTAACAGGTTTTAGCAGAGCTTCTAGACTAATATGGATTAGGAAGAAAGGCCTGACGATCTAATTCCAAAAATTGGCCAGTGAAAATCCTATGGATCACAATAGTCCAGTTCATAGCCAATCATGGGGATGATGCAGGATCAGGCAACGTTTTGTTCCATTGTGCATGGGGTCACCATGAGTTGGGGGCCAACTCAAAGGCAGCTAATAACAATATGTAATAGATAATCAGTATATTTTATTGAATTAATTTCTCTAGCTAATCACCTGCCTTACTACAATGTCATTTACTCATACTCCCTGAGAACAAGCATTGTCTTAGATTCTTCTGTTGTATCTGCCAGAGGGAATATAGGCCTGGACATAGAGTATACATTAAATCACCACCCCTAGTTGATTTGACCTGTGCTGTCACTGTTGACTGCATACACTCAGTCACTCTTCTGTATTTCCTTCTGAGAAACGCCATTTGTTTTAAGCCTGTGGCAACAGTGTGCTCAGTGAAGAGGTAGGCTCCTCTCCTCAGACCAGGGAATGGACCATAGTTGGTCTCTTCTAAGCCTTTCTTCTTTTTGTGTAATTGGTTTAGAGTTGGGCATGAGCCTAGATCTGGATAAGGAAATCTGAGTGAGAGTCTGCTGGGGGATTCTGGAAAACATTTTTCTCCAGGATTGAAAAAAAAAAAGAGGGAGAGACATTTGGAAAAACAAAAAAAACCTCCCTTCTATTTTTGGAGATTGTTCTATTGGGACATATATCCTAGGTCCTTGGTGCCATCGTTAATACAGTGAACCAAACTGGCTCCGTGGACCCCCTACCTGTGGACTTTCAGATAAGTAAAGTAATAAATATCCTTATGTATAAATGCCACTTTTTGTTGGTAGTTGGTTACTGAATTCAGATGTAATGAAGAAAAGAAGCATAATTTTATACCTCCAAAAGCCCTATTTCTAAGCACTATGGTCTTAATAAATAGAAAGTAAATTGGTTTCACAAACAAACTACAGGGCCAGCCCACCGAGAGAATCCTGCCATCCCACAGAAACTAACAGACAGCATCATCAAGTAGATACTGAGCTCATAATGTTCTTGCTCAGCTACGAGGCAGAATGGATCGGCATAATATTATTTTTCTTTAAGGAAAAATTATGGCTATCAATGGAGAAAAAAAATTCCCCACAAAATCTCAACTGGCATTAATTTATGCACTGCTATATTTACCAATAAATATTTTACACTATTTAGAAGAATAACAAAGCTGTTATCTCACCCACAGTAATAATATATGAGCAATTAAAGAAGGCAGGATGAGATGTGCCTCGATTTTCCTTTAAGGATCCTTTTAAATGAATCATTGAGTAATTCCCTGTTGTTTGAGACTTTCCTATAAAAAATAGATCTGCCAAACTTTCAGCGGGAGGCAGGCAGTTGGAAGAACAATGTCTTCCAGTCTGTGGGGTTTTGAACTGCAATTTTCTCAAATACTGTTTTGAATGTGTTGCTCCTTTCCTTTAAAACTTTCTATGTCTCCCTTTTGCTTTCCTCCTCTTGATTCCTCTTCATGATATGTAAATAAGACTCTTCACATCACTCTGCCTTGGGCCGCTCATCTCTAGCCACTACCCCCACCCCAGTACTCAACACCCTAACCCCCACAGGACCAGTTACCATGCCTCAAGAACATACACAGCCTGTGCCCTCAGGGATTCCCTTATGATGCTATCACTTCCTTAAGTACCATTTTTTCCTCCCTCTTCCTTAGTCAGTGAAATCTACCTACATTTCAATTCCCAGCTCAAATTACATTTATATATAATTTTCCCAGTGAACCTGCCTTCCCAGAACCCCTTACCCTAAACCATCACATATGTCTGCACCTGCTGGGTACTGCACAACTCCATGGTGTGCCATTCACAGAGACCACATGATTGATACCCCCAGAAGTGATGCAATGTGGACAGAACTATTTGCTCTGCATTTGTTTTCTGACAACACTTAGAACACATTTTTATTAGAATTCTTACTAGATTCTAGGTGTTTTCTTACCTCCCAGTTTTAGTTGTCTATTACAGTATACTGTCTATTACAGTAACAAACCACCCCAAAAGTTAATGGCTTAAAGCAACCTTTTTATTGATTTTGTAGGTAGAGAATTTGGGCAGGGTTTGGTTAGGAGATTCTTCTGCTTTCCGTGATGTCAGCTGAGGTCACTAGGTGGTACTTAGTTGGCAGATGGGCTGATCTGAAGGGTCTACGGTTGTTTCACTCACATGTCTGGCAACTTGCCAGGGATGGCTGGAGGACTAGGCTCCTCTTGGCACATATTAACCAGAACACCTACCTGTGGCTTCTCCATCATGGCAGCCGTAAGGACTTCTTACATGGCAGCTGGCTTCCCCAGACCAAGTATCCTAGTAGACCTGGGAGGAAGCTGCAAGACTGATTTTGACTTAGTCTCAGAAGTCCAAAGGTCATTTCTGCTGCATTTTATTGATAAGTCATTTCATAGATTCAAGAGGAGGGGAGTTAGACTGCACCTCTCAATTGGAGGAGTAGAAAGAATTTGCAGTCATTTTTAATCTGTGGTAGTTTGTGTGTTCCTGTGATGCTGGAAGCTATATCACCGGTATTTCAAGTACTAGCCGGGTAGACAGATTTCAGTGGAACTTCCAGGCTAAGATAGACTAAGAAGAAGAACCTGGCAGTATACTTCTGAAAAACTTGGCCAGTGAAAACCTTATGTAAAGCAATGAAACATTGTCTAATAAGAGGCTAGAAGATGAGCCCCTCAGGTTGGAAGGCGCTCAAAATACAACAGAGGAAGAGCTGCCTCCTCAAAGTAGAGTCAATCTTAATGACGTGGATGGAGTAAAGCTTTCAGGACCTTCATTTCCTAATGTGGCATGACACAAAATGAGAAGAAACAGCTGCAAACATCCATTAATAATTGGAATGTGGAATGTAGGAAATATGAATCTAGAAAAACTGGAAGTCATGAAACATGAAATGGAAAGCATACAGATCAGAATTCTAGGCATTAGTGAGCTGAAATGGACTGGAATTGGCCATTTTGAATTGGACAATCATATGGTCTACTATATCAGGAATGACAAAGTGAAGAGGAATGGTGCCAGATTCATAGTCTAAAAGAACATTTCAAGATCATTCTGAAGGATAATGCTGCCAGCGATAGGATAATATCCACATGCTACAAAGAAGACCAAT